GAACCCATCCTCCCGAGCTGAAGATGGTCTGCTCATCTTTGTAGGCGGTGGGAGCTGAGGGACCTGCAAGAACTAAATCAGAGAACCCAGGGGTGTTTACCCGACAAGGTCACTCCGATGGCTAAGTCAGTACTTAGTAGCAAGCTGAAAATGATATTAGAGAATGAGAGAGCTAGAGAGCAGGGGTTACCATCTCTTTCTCCATCATGCCTTCACCCCTGGGGGGTGAGATCCTTATATATTGGAGTCCTCGTGGGTTTGGTGGAGCAGTTCCTGGATTCCTGCTGTGATGGGACCTGCTTTCGTGTTAGGTGTGGATAAAGCCACCAACCAGTAAGGTTGTCCATTTACGCCTAAATCGGGGAGTGGGTGAGCTAATATAGCTGTTACAAGTCACAATCACGTAAAATGCGGGGTACGATGGTGAGTTCCTTGGGGTTGTCATGCGGTGGTCGGTCTGACTTGGAGGCGAGTTGCCTATGGAGTGTTGCATGGTGGCGAGCTACCTGTGAGTGTTGCATGGTGGCGAGCTGGCGAGCTACTTGTGTAGTGCCGAGTTGTCTAAGTTGCCAGGCTATAAGAGGGTGAGCTACCCATGGCGAATTAATTAGGGCAAACTGTCTGTGGCGAACTGCCTATGACGAGATGCCTGTAAGTGACGAACTACTTGAGGTAAACTCGAACTGTCTAACTGTCAACACACTGTACTTAGTTGACATGAGGTGCCATGTGTCATAATGTCATGTACTTAGTTGACATGAGGTGCCAGGTGTCATAATTTCATTGGAGGGCGGCTGTTTGGTACATTTATTAACAATTCATCATTTTACTATGTTCCTTTTTACTTAAGCGGGGCAAGGCCGCTAGGCGGATTAATGGGTTGGGCTGAGATCGGTGATTTTTAGAATAAAGAAAAAACAAAAATTGATGATTCTTGAATTTTTGGAGTAGAGGCGAGGGCTGTTGAATTTTGAACCCTGAGGTTTCGTCTCGTATAAATAACGCCAAGGTGCAGGAGGGAGGGACCTTCCTGTGTTACTGGAGCTCAGATTCGCTTTTTTTATTCTTCTTCTTCTTCTAAACTTCAAAGTAAACGAGAGTGGTCTCGTCCCGTGCAGCGAAAGATCGAGTTGTGAGGGAGAGCCTTTGGTTTGTTTCCTTCTCGCCTCCTCCGATCTTTCTTCCATTCATTCTCTGTTTATGTTTCTCCCCCTTCTTCATACATAAAAAGTCTTAGCTTTTTTTCTTCCCCTTGAAAACTTCAACCGACCCGCCCTAACCCTAGTCTCTCAATGGCTCTTTCCGATAACAAC